GGTCATCATCACTGATTTATTAATATTATTAATATGTTATCCTCAGGTCATCATCGCTGATTTATTAATATTATTAATGTGTTAACCTCAGGTCATCATCACTGATTTATTAATATGTTAACCTCAAGTTATTATCACTGATTTATTATTAATAATAATATGTTAACCTCAGGTCATCATCACTGATTTATTAATATTATTAATACATTAACCACAGGTCATAATCACTGATTTATTAATGATAACATATTAACCACAGGTCATTATCACTGATTTATTAATATTATTAATATGTTAACCACAGGTCATCATCACTGATTTATTAATATTGTTAATATCTTAACCTCAGGTCATCATCGCTGATTTATAAATATTGTTAATATCTTAACCTCAGGTCATCATCACTGATTTATTAATATTTAATCAACCTCAGGTCATCATCGCTGATTTATTAATATTGTTAATATCTTAACATCAGGTCATTATCACTGATTTATTAATATGTTAACCTCAGGTTATCATCACTGATTTATTAATAATAATAATATGTTAACCTCAGGTCATCATCACTGATTTATTAATATTATAAATACGTTAACCACAGGTCATGATAATTGATTTATTAATATTATTAATATGTTAACCTCAGGTCATCATAGCTGATTTATTAATATTATTAATACTTTAACCTCAGGTCATCATCACTGATTTATTAATATTTGTTAACCTCAGGTCATCATAACTGATTTATTAATATTATTAATACGTCATCATCACTGATTTATTAATATGTTAACCTCAGGTCATCATCACTGATTTATTAATATTAATAATATCTTAACCTCAGGTCATCATCACTGATTTATTAATAGGTTAACCTCAGGTTATCATCACTGATTTATTAATAATAATAATATGTTAACCTCAGGTCATCATCACTGATTTATTAATATTATTAATACGTTAACCACAGGTCATAATCACTGATTTACTAATGTTAACATGTTAACCACAGGTCATCATCACAGATTTATTAATATTATTAATATGTTAACCTCAGGTCATCCTCACTGATTTATTAATATTATTAATATGTTAACCTCAGGTCATCCTCACTGATTTAATAATATTATTATTATGTTAGCCTCAGGTCATCTCTGATTTATTAATATTATAAACATGTTAACCTCAGGTCATCATCACTGATTTATAATTATTATTAACACGTCATCATCACTGATTTATTAATATGTTAACCTCAGGTCATCATCACTGATTTATTAATATTAATAATATCTTAACCTCAGGTCATCATCACTGATTTATTAATATGTTAACCTCAGGTTATCATCACTGATTTATTTATAATAATAATAATATGTTAACCTCAGGTCATATTCACTGATTTATTAATATTATTAATACGTTAATCACAGGTCATAATCACTGATTTACTAATGTTAACATGTTAACCACAGGTCATCATCACTGTTTTATTAATATTATTATTATGTTAACCTCAGGTCATCATCCCTGATTTATTAATATTAACATGTTAACCTCAGGTCATCATCACTGATTTATTAATATTATTATTAATACGTCATCATCACTGATTTATTAATATGTTAACCTCAGGTCATCATCACTGATTTATTAATATTATTAATACGTCATCATCACTGATTTATTGATATTATTAATATGTTAACCTCAGGTCATCATCACTGATTTATTAATATTATTAATATGTTAACCTCAGGTCATCATCACTGATTTATTAATACGTCATCATCACTGATTTATTAATATGTTAACCTCAGGTCATCACTGATTTATTAATATTATTAATATGTTAACCTCAGGTCATCATCACTGATTTATTAATATTAATAATATCTTAACCTCAGGTCATCATCACTGATTTATTAATATTAATAATATCTTAACCTCAGGTCATCATCACTGATTTATTAATATGTTAACCTCAGGTTATCATCACTGATTTATTTATAATAATAATATGTTAACCTTAGGTCATATTCACTGATTTATTAATATTATTAATACGTTAATCACAGGTCATAATCACTGATTTACTAATGTTAACTTGTTAACCACAGGTCATCATCACTGTTTTATTAATATTATTATTATGTTAACCTCAGGTCATCATCCCTGATTTATTAATAATATTAACATGTTAACCTCAGGTCATCATCACTGATTTATTAATATTATTATTAATACGTCATCATCACTGATTTATTAATATGTTAACCTCAGGTCATCATCACTGATTTATTAATGTTATTAATATGTTAACCTCAGGTCATCATCACTGATTTATTAATATTATTAATACATCATCATCACTGATTTATTAATATTAATATGTTAACCTCAGGTCATCATCACTGATTTATTAATATTATTAATACGTCATCATCACTGATTTATTAATATGTTAACCTCAGGTCATCATCACTGATTTATTAATATTATTAATACATCATCATTACAGATTTATTAATATCTTAACCTCAGGTAATCATCACTAATTTATTAATATTAATAATATCTTAACCTCATGTCATCATCACTGATTTATTAATATGTTAACCTCAGGTTATCATCACTGATTTTTTAATAATAATAATATGTTAACCTCAGGTCATCATCACTGATTTGTAATATTATTAGTACGTTAACTTCAGGTCATCATCTCGGATTTATTAAAATCATCTTTTAAAAATCATATATATACACACACACACATATGTGTGTGTGTGTGTGTGTGTTTTTACATAAAAACAAGCAATAAATATTTTGTTCAGACTTCCTTAACTCTTTAATACCTAATAAACTCTTTAAGTCTGTTTAAAGCTGAAATTTTAAACACATGTTAAGGATTGAGCTTCTAGATTGTAGTTTTGTGTAAAACCATTTCAGATTTACTAGGCCCAGCAGCACAAACTCTCTTATGGCATGGAAAAGTAGCAGTTTTTGGAGATGTTATAGTGTTTTATTAAACGTGATGTGTTTTATTGTAATATTAACATAGTACAAACTTTTCAGCCTGTTGTCTTGTCCCTTTATCAAGAAGTCAATTTATCAACTAGAAAATGAAAATCTAGCATCTTTTGTAATTTTGTATAACAGGCAACTCGTGATTGCAAGTAACATTATTGTTTGTTTGTTTTTCAGGAGGAGCATTGAACAAGATAAATGTGCAAAACCTGGGCCCTGAATCATGCTTTGATTTGGCAACTCATTTCTTGGAACCTCTCGCAGTTGATGTTTTCTTTTCCTTTCTAGAGGACTGCCTGAAATAAGCTTAGTACACAACTAAGGTGGTAAACAAAAACAAAACTCAGATTACGTTTTTACAATTAGAATTTTATTTCATTTTAGACAGTTGTTCTATTGTAAATGTTATGTTCTAAACTGATATCAGATATACTGTACAAAATAAAATTTAAAAAAAACTTGTTTTCTTTGCGTTTTCTTCTTGGTTTAATAGCAAAACCGACATCTAGGGTCAGTTCTTCGTACGTGGATTACTCAGTTAGCTGGATTTGGATAATGACGATTTGACACGATTCAGGATCGTTTCGTTCTTCAAAACTGATCCGAGAGTTGTTGTCATAGCAACAGTTCTGGTAGCTCAAACCTGGTCGGGAGCAGGTTCAATTAATATAAACAGGATTAGATCGGGTCAGTTCAAGCAAAGATAATACAGAAAGAATGTACCAGATTCTGACATTCTTACAGTAGTGGTTTTATACACTTGGGAAAATAGTAAATATTTTTTAACTATATATATATATATATATATATATATATATATATATATATATATATATATATATATATATATATATATATATATATATACACACACACACACACACATATACATACACACACACACACAACAATTCTGTCTGGATTTTGAATTGGCTGATAGCCGTGATATATTTAAGTAATTTAAGCATCCGTACTACCTTTTTACCCTTTGTGTATAACTCCGCCCACATACAGCAGACACTACAGTTTGACAAATATTATTGCTGTTACACAACAAAATATACTTTTGAGGCTTTTTTTAGTTGAGAATGTAGTTGTTTTGATTGCAACTATGCAGTTTATTTGCAAGAATAGTGCTTATTTTAAAATATTTACAATTTCTGAGAGACAGCTCGTCGTCGACAGTTGACGTTTTCTATCCACAAGATGGCGACAGAACCGCATAATAAGTCCTTACGGCTGTTTCACACCTGCAAATCTTTATTTTACAAATTTTATAGATCAAACAGTCCTGTATGCTTCTCAAACTCTATGAGGAGTACGTCAGAAGACAATCGCCAGTGATATTTGGTTTTTGATTGACAGGATGTTGTAAGCCTATAGTTATATCTATACAGTAGTTATAATGATATTTATACATAATCCACTTCAGTAATGTCCAGCGGCAGAGTAACTGCATGTTAATTTATGCTCGTGCAAAGGATGAGACGGATAAAAGTGATCAATGCATGCCCTTCTTTTACTTATTTTCGTGTTGTCAGGTTCACAGTGCAAACAGCTCCCAGGTGAAATAACTTGAGCGAACAAAGCAAAGCCGAATAAAGCTTTCTTCCTCTGCTTAAGCAGCACAGCACACAGTGAGTTCACATCATCCAGCATGGGTGTCGAACTACACTACCCACAATACGCTTTGCTATGGACTACAATTCCCGTAAATCACTTCCCCTCTCCAACAAAACTGATACTAAAACTGTTTTACTATTGGTTTTGTAGTTCGAGCCGAAATAAAGGTTTGTTGCAGTTTTTATTAGTTTAAGTTCATTTGATTGACTATATGTAAATCAGTTTATATTATTGACATTTATTGGGTAAAATTGTTACTTTTTACTGTTATTCAATGTATTTAGGTCATTATCAATGCACTGTCACTTTAATTGAGCGTGAGCAGCGCTATCGCTGCACTGCTGCTTCAGCGATGCTCACGGCTCACTGACACGCTGCTGCGTGCGGTAAGAAAGTTCTAATCTGTTAACATGGATGCCAAAAAAACACGCGCCGCTGACGCTTGCGGTGTGAAACAGGCGTTACGTTTAAAAGATATAATAGTCTTATTTCTAACTATAGCAGATCAAATATTAAACTGGTGAGCACACCTGCCAACACTTGCGTTTTTCATGGGGGTTTATCGCGTATTTCAGACCAGTCACCCTGTTTGTGTCAGAGTCTCTGTTTATAGCATCTTCCAAAGTTAGACCACAGATGACCAATTGTCTCCCAGTTGTTCCTGAAGTACTTGCAGACATATTTGAAGTTCCTAAACTGGCAGTGAAACATCTCAGCCTTTTCCTTAAATTCTTGTGCCTGTAAAAATTGACAAGGAAAATCATGTTTCATGATGTTAGCATAAGAACTGCTGTAGATTTTTAGCTCATTAAATAATCCTTCACACAGACATATACCCCAGTGTGTATGGTAAATCTACTGAGAATCTTTATTGTTCTTATACTGTCTAAATCACTGTAGGTCTATGACTGGATAAAACAACATAACATAATACTATTTGCAGTAACTAAAACAGACCCACCAAACAATCCATGTTTATAACAAAAAAGAAAAGTTGCAAAGTTATCATAAATTATAAAATCATAGTTTCACATTTAATCAAATTATTATAAATTTAATCAATTCCTTTTGGACTATGTAAGATCCATGATCTGAAATGTTATTCAGAACAGAATTAAAATATATCTTTATTTAAAACAAAAACATTTAGCTCATGCTGTAAAATGTACTTTAAACTGACCTAAAAAGGTATTAATTAAGGTTGTTAATATAAATGGAATGCTTACAAATGTGTGTAAAATATGTAAAGTTAATCTATGAAACTCTGCACACCTAGCCTAGTTTATTTCTGAACACAGTTGATAAGCAGCATAAATTCATTTTTGAAGGAGAGTAATTGTGTGTGAGTGAGAAGAGGCCAGATGCAAGTGTTATCTGAAAATTTCTCTTAAAATTAGAATTTTTTCTACAGCTCCTGTGTGTAGGTTCTGTAATTGAACTTTAATGGTAAGGTGTGTTTTTACATTGCCTTTAAAGTTAAATAACAGCATAAACAATAAAGGCTGGAAAATATGCTAATTTTCAGCGTACGACAGTAGAATGTAGTTTGGGTAACTTTATTGACGTTGCTAGCAATCGTTCTTCTCAATATCATTCTTTTTGGTAAAAATAAAATGAGGGGATAAGGATGTACATATTCATATTTACTTTAACATGTTCAATACAGCCAACAGTAAAATTTTACTAATGCACATTTATCCAAATCTTAATATGTATATGAGGAAAATCTATTCATGAGACCATTTGAATCGAATATTAGCAAAACTATCATATTTACACAAACATGTGTAAGCCATAAAAAGGTGTTTGTACAACAAAGTACAGGGGGTATAAAACGGATTATAATCAAATGACCCTTGAATATTTACAAAAATAGAGCGCTTGCGGACATATTTTTCAATGTTTAAATCAGCCCCGGAAATAATCTGCATGTGTTACTCTTGACCGCACACTGAGAGAAATCGAAAGTAACCCTGTCACTTAAAATGTAACTTTAAATGTCCAGTAGGTGGGGAGTCAAAACCAGAAGTATGTGATAGCACAACAATGATAGCGATTCAAAAATATATGTTTTGATGGGCTGAATATCATTATATTTTTGATGTCAGTTGTGGGCCGGATGGAGGAGGCAGGGCCGCAAATGGTTTGAGGGTCGGCAGTTTGAGACCTGACTTAGAGGCTTTTGCATCTGAACTCTTCATACTGTATGTGGTTACCATTTTATATTAGCTGTCATTAACATAATTTTTTCACATATTAATAATGCATGTTACAAGCTTGTTACCAAAGTAGAATGACACATTAGAACATACAATTGTACTATAAGGGTGCTTTCACACCTGTGAATTGATTTAGTTGTTCCGAAAAAGAGATTAAAAATGTTAACATTGTTGCTCTTTGCTCTTGGAGCGGTTCACTTTCAGACTGCAAAATTTCTAATCGGACCAAAAGAGCTAATACAAGTCAAGTGCGAGTAAACTCTCCTCACATTGGTCAGAGTGCCAGGGTTTTTTTTGCAGCGTTCTGCTCAGCTGTCAGGGGGAGGTGGTGGTTTGGTGGTGATTGACGAGGCGCGCACGCGCGACGTGTCTGAGGAGAGATGCGGTGGGGAGGGGTGAGAAGGGTGCGCGACGATGCCTATTTGAGGACCGGGAGGGTGATGCGAGATTACGGGGAGGTCATCACTCGTTTTCGGGCATCCGGAGACTTGCGAAACTTCCCACCCTACTCATAATTCTCTCTTCATATAGCCGTATGCCTATCACATATCCATAAAACACTGTAATAACCGTGCTCGGATCGGATCGCTTTCTCACTGCAAACGAACCACTCCAGGGTTCGTTTCAATCAAGCCGAGACTACCTCACTCAGGCGGTCTCGGAGCGATTACTTTGGCGTGGAATAGAGCGCAATTGCCTTGTTCACATATGCCAAACGAACCGCGCTAACTGGGCAAACAAGACAGGTTCTGAAACAAAAGTATAGGTGTGAAAGCACCCTAAAACAAATAGCAACACACCTTTGAACAGCATTTCATCTCTGACATAAACTGTATGATGTGCGCTCTTGAATCTGTCTTTTCAGGTCCATTCACACCAGATTCAGATATTGACAGCCAACGAGTTACTGCCTGTGTGTAATAAATGGTGGAAAAACGTAACACAACATATTTAATATGGTCAGAACTTCCATGACACATTCGACATTATTAGGATCAAGTATTATAAGCTTCAAGTTAAGGGGTACTCAAATCAAAGTAAAAACAATATATGTTATTGCTATAGCTCAGCAAAAGTTTGAACTTTTTTTTTTGCTTAAGTGCATCGATGACTGACATAAACACACATTAATACCCAGATAATGTCAAGTAATATTACAGTATGTTGTGTGACATGTTGCAATGTGAAATAAGCTTAAGCTCAATCCACTGATTCCTTAGCAACTGAAGATAAAAAAAAAAATGTGAATGGTAATACTGTTAGAGATTTACATAAAAAATATATTAATATGACAGTTGATAAAAATAGAATATGAATCTATAAAATGAGGAAAAACAAAAGCAGTATCATAACTTAGTACTTACTTGCGTTACATGGTACCAACAAAGGAGAATGTCTGACTCGTTGAACACCTTACGGATGGCATTGACTTCAGCCTGGTCTTTATCAACCATAAAACACCTAAAAAATAAATACTATAAACTTTAAGATAGAGAAAACAAATACAAAATATTACAAATGTTTGCTCTCCAAAGAATGCATTTTGTTGTTTACTGTTATTTACCTTCTCTAGAAAAAACTATTTTTGCAATGCATGAAATCAACATTTAGCAAATACCAATTTTGACCCGAATTTGCTAATATAAAGTAAAAATTCACAATATTAACATTGATGACCTGAGGTTAACGTATTATTAATAAATCAGTGATGATGACCTGAGGTTAGCATATTAATATTAATAAATCAGTGATGATGACCAGTATATTAATAAATCAATGATGATGACCTGAGTTTATTGTATTAATGATATTAATAAATCAGCGATGATAACCTGAGGTTAACGTATTATTAAAATGAATAAATCAGTGATGATGACCTGAGGTTAACGTATTAATAATATTAATAAATCAGAGATTAAGACCTGTGGTTAACGTAGTAATAATATTAATAAATCAGTGATAGTGACCTGAGGTTAACATATGAATAATATTAATAAATCCGTGATGATGACCTGAGGTTAACAAATTAAAATGAATAAATCAGTGATGATGACCTGAGGTTAACACATTAATAATATTAATAAATCAGTGATGATGACCTGAGGTTAACATGTTAATTATATTAATAAATCAGTGATGACCTGAGGTTAACATGTTAATTATATTAATAAATCAGTGATGACCTGAGGTTAACATGTTAATAATATGAATAAATCAGTGATGACCTGAGGTCAACATGTTAATAATATTAATAAATCAGTGATGATGACCTGTGGTTAACATATTAATAATATTAATAAATCAGTGATGATGACCTGAGGTTAACATATTAATAATATTAATAAATCAATGATGACCTGAGGTTAACCAGGGCTCTACAGTAAGGAATTCCCGATGGCCCGGGGCCAGTGTGAGAGATGCTCGGGACAGTAGACAGAATTGTTACTGGCCCGATCGGGGCAGTGCTGCCTTGTCACTAAATTTTAATAGACGGCAACATGACCGCGACATTAAATTATGAGGCTAAAGGAAATGTCTGTTTCTAACTTTGTGGAAACATTTAAATGGGTACAGCATGACGAAAAAATGTGATGTTTTGCTTAGTTTGCCGTCACTTTTAAGTCAGCCACCTTTTGTTTTGCAATAAAATACGTGCACGTTTTCCATACTGCTATATTTTACTGCTAAATATTTTTCAAATATTTAAATTCTACAACTACTGACATTAATTTCATTCATTCATTTTCTTTTCGGTTTTGTCCCTTTATTAATCTGGGGTCGCCACAGTGGAATGAACCGCCTGACATTATTTCGTGAAACATTATTTAATATATGTGGCTAACTTTTTTATTTCTTTTATTGGGCCAGTGAAAATTTTGGCAGGGCAAGTAAAAATCTGAACCACTGGTCCAATCGGGCCAGTAGAAAAAATCCTTAGCGTTGAACCCTGTTAACATATTAATATTAATTAATCAATCAGTGATGATGACCTGAGGTTAATGTATTAATAATATTAATAAGTCAGTGATGATGACCTGGGGTTAACATATTAATAATATTAATAAATCGACGACCTGAGGTTAACGTATTAATAAATCAGTGATGATGACCTGAGGTTAACATATTAATAATATTAATAAATCCTTGATGATGACCTGAGGTTAACAAATTATAATTAATAAATCAGTGATGATGACCTGAGGTTAACACATTAATAATATTAATAAATCAGTGGTGATGACCTGAGGTTAACATATTAATAATATGAATAAATCAGTGATGACCTCAGGTTAACATGTTAACTATATTAATAAATCAGTGATGATCTGAGGTCAACATATTAATAATATAAATAAATCAATGCTGATGACCTGTGGTTAACATAATAATAATATTAATAAATCAGCGATGATGACCTGAGGTTAATATAATAATAATATGAATAAATCAATGATGACCTGAGGTTAACATATTAATAATATTAATAAATCAATGATGACCTGAGGTTAACATATTAATATTAATTAATCAATCAGTGATGATGACCTGGGGTTAACATATTAATAATATTAATAAATCGACGACCTGAGGTTAACGTATAAATAAATCAGTGATGATGACCTGAGGTTAACATATTAATAATATTAATAAATCAGTGATGATGACCTGAGATTAACGCATTAATAATATAAATAAATCAGTGATGATGACCTGTGGTTAATGTATTAATAATATTAACAAATCAGTGATGATGACCTGAGGTTAACATATTATTTATATTAATAAATCAGTGATGATGACCTGAGATTAACGCATTATTATTATAAATAAATCAGTGATGATGACCTGTGGTTAACGTATTAATAATATTAATAAATCAGTGATGATGACCTGAGGTTAACATATTAATAATATTAATAAATCAGTGATGATGACCTGAGGTTAACATATTAATAAATCAATGATGACCTCAGGTTAACATGTTAACTATATTAATAAATCAGTGATGATCTGAGGTCAACATATTAATAATATAAATAAATCAATGCTGATGACCTGTGGTTAACATAATAATAATATTAATAAATCAGCGATGATGACCTGAGGTTAACATAATAATAATATGAATAAATCAATGATGACCTGAGGTTAACATATTAATAATATTAATAAATCAATGATGACCTGAGGTTAACATATTAATATTAATTAATCAATCAGTGATGATGACCTGGGGTTAACATATTAATAATATTAATAAATCGACGACCTGAGGTTAACGTATAAATAAATCAGTGATGATGACCTGAGGTTAACATATTAATAATATTAATAAATCAGTGATGATGACCTGAGATTAACGCATTAATAATATAAATAAATCAGTGATGATGACCTGTGGTTAATGTATTAATAATATTAATAAATCAGTGATGATGACCTGAGGTTAACATATTATTAATATTAATAAATCAGTGATGATGACCTGAGATTAACGCATTATTATTATAAATAAATCAGTGATGATGACCTGTGGTTAACGTATTAATAATATTAATAAATCAGTGATGATGACCTGAGGTTAACATATTAATAATATTAATAAATCAGTGATGATGACCTGAGGTTAACATATTAATAAATCAATGATGACCTGAGGTTAACATATTAATATTAATTAATCAATCAGTGATGATGACCTGAGGTTAATGTATTAATAATATTAATAAGTCAGTGATGATGACCTGGGGTTAACATATTAATAATATTAATAAATCAGTGATGATGACCTGAGGTTAACGTATTAATAATATTAATAAATCAGTGATGATGACCTGAGGTTAACATATTAATAAATCAGTGATGATGACCTGAGGTTAACATATTAATGATATTAATAAATCAGCGATGATAACTTGGGGTTAACAAATTACTAATAATAATACATCAGTGATGATGACCTGAAGTTAACATATTAATAATATAAACAAATCAGTGATGATGACCTAAGGTTAACATCTTAATATTAATAAATCAATGATGACCTGAGGTTAACATATTAATAATATAAATAAATAAGTGATGATGACCTGAGGTTAACATTTTAATATTAATTATTCAATCAGTGATGATGACCTGTAACGTATTAGTAATATTAATAAATCAGTGATGATGATGTATTAATAATATTAATAAATCAGTGATGATGACCTGTGGTTAAAGTATTAATAATAATAATAATAAATCAGTGATGATGACCTGAGGTTAACGTATTATTAATATTAATAAATCAGTGATGATGACATGAGATTAACGCATTAATATTAATAAATCAGTGATGATGACCTGTGGTTAACGTATTAATAATATTAATAAATCAGTGATGATGACCTGAGGTTAACGTATTAATAATATTAATAAATCAGTGATTATGACCTGAGGTTAACATATTAATAATATTAATAAATCAGTCATGATGACCTGAAGTTAACATATTATTATTAATAAATCAGTGATGATGACCTGAGGTTAACGTATTATTAATATTAATAAATCAGTGATGATGACATGAGATTAACGCATTAATAATATTAATAAATCAGTGATGATGACCTGAGATTAACGTATTAATAATATTAATAAATCAGTGATGATGGCCTGAGATTAACACACATACATATATATATATATATATATATATATATATATATATATATATATATATATATATATATATATATATATATATATAAGCGATCATGACCTGAGGTCAACATAATTAACAGAATAATTAAATTATATCACTAACGTTAGTTGAATTTTGCAGCGATTCACAGTAGATAAGTTAACACCTCAAATAACGTTACTGTACTAACGTTACTGTCTTGTGTTTAAACTAGTGCTGTTTTGGTCCACATTACATGACCATACATAATACATGCTAAAAACCGAATTATTAGAAAAAATGGCGCTAAGTTAGCAAGAGGGCAAGTTTAGTCGCGTTTAATAACGTTTGCTAGATTTAAATATTCAAAAAAATACTGTTAGCTTGTTTTAATTAATACCAGAAAGTAAGTCACAGTAACGGTAGAGCAGCACGCTAATCTAACGTTAGGTAGGGACGGCTAATTAGGCTAACTTAATGCAAACAAAAGTTAAACGTTGCTCGTTCACTTCGCTGGAAAAAAGGGACAAATCCATAAACACATACGAATTTTACAATCATTACTGCTTCTGTAAACTTACAGAAGAAAACCGGTGATCTCACCTCTTCACTTGTCCTCTTCACCTGTCCTCTTCACTGGTGAAAATGGCAGTTGCCTGTGTGTGGGTGGGTGTGTTTTCTTATTTGAATTTGCGTTTTTTGGCGGACTCTGCAGGAGGCTCATAATGATGATGTAATAACATTTGATTGGCTGATAGAGATGTTGTCCCTGGGTGATCATAAAATATGTTGGTCTCAGGAC